CGGTCAGGTCACGACACACCCGGCCGGGGGTCACGGGGTCACGCTAGACACAATGGCGCTGCGCCATTTTCATCAGCGTGTGTGTCGGAGGCCGCCGGGAGCGGTCGTCTGTCCGTCAGTCTGCCTGCGGGAGAAAGGCGGACGCGCCGCTCCCGGCAGAAAACCGGCGAAGGTTAACTCGAACTAACGTGATGTGATGAGCAATTAGGTGACGGCGGATCTCCTAGTGCCTGCCGTGCGCCTCCTGCAGATGTTTAAGTGAATGCCTTCATCCAAATACACATGACACGCATTTGCGTAGATCAATGTCAGTGTTACGGCCGGGATGCGTTATCGCAGCGCGGTGACCGACATGCATAAAATGAATAATTGTAAGCAGGGGGCAGGAAAATGTCGGTCTTCCATGCCCCGTGAGATGTCCTTTTCCAGGGCCACGGTCCTGTCACGGATGCTGGAAACTGCGAACGCCAGTAAGGATCCCGGGCGGGCTATTCAAGACCGGGTGACCCGGTGCCCCTCCTAACGGCTGTATACGACACCGGTGCACAAAAGGTCCCCACGAATGGCCATGAAGCCGCACATTGTGCTGTTTTTAGCAGAGATTGATGTGTGACAGTTCTGACGGCTCGGCATTTGTGCAGTCTTAGTTATGACATCATCCTTTTGCATATGTTTGCTATAATTGGCGGAGCAGGCTCGGGGAAAATAATGACTCGAGCAGTTTAAATGCTGACTTCGGCGTGATAACAATGGCAGTTGCAGTGATAATGATAAAATAACAGGAAGTGGTGACGCGTTCTTCTCCCTTGCAAGGACTATTTCACGCTCCCGCACGCCTTTAAAGACGGCAATCGTTTTGATTAATGGGGTCATCGCTGCATTCCTGTTGGATAGTTGACCCTCGAGAAATCATAGAAATGGGTTGATCGCCGTGATTTTCTTGTTCATCGGCTTACTTTTATTGATTTTTCGTCTGGTTCGTCCTTCCTTTTTAAAGGGACCCTCCCACCTTCAAAAAAGTTTATGAATTGGCATGAAAGTGATGTCGCTCGGTTCAGAAAGAGCGAAAACGAATATCTACCAAATTTCAACGAAAAATATTCACCGGTTTTCAAGATATTTGACTTTTGCTTTTGTTTACTTTTTTGGGATCTCCGCTGTTTCTAGCGACTTTATTTTAGAAGTGCGGCGTTTGCGGCAGAGATTGCGCGCAAATAGCATATACCACCGCGTGCTACAAAACGTTTTAGTCAAACATTTAAAAATCGTTAGATATTTGCGCTGACGTCACACATTCAGAGGGGTATTCCTAAGCATTAGCCCCTCTGAATCAAAATGCTGCAATTTTGAAATTCAATATTTCCGATTTAAGGCATTTCTCGATGTTGTGAGTGCCGAAACCGGTAATTGTGAGCCAGGGACCCCATTTTGGCTATCTCAACTCAAATCTAATGTTAAGGTGGGAGGGTCCCTTTAAAAGAGTCACTGTTACGTAAGTCACTGCTTGGTGGTTTATTTTTCACTCTTGATTGCCTCTCCTTTTGCTCCTCCCTTTATCTCCATGTCTCTCTCTCTCTCTCTCTCTCTCTCTCTCTCTCTCTCTCTCTCTCTCTCTCTCTCTCTCTCTCTTTCTCTCTCTCTCTCTCTCTCTCTCTCTCTCTCTCTCTCTCTCTCTCTCTCTCTCTCTCTCACTCACTCTCTCTCCCTTCCTCTTTTCTCTTTTTTTTTCTCTCTCTCTTTGCCTTTTCAAGTAAACAACCCGTTAAGAAGTTCAACGTTTGCGGAATATCCGTGGATCTTACCGATTACTACGAAATGAACACGAGTAAAGAGCCTCAAGCATTTCAAGCAATGATCGTGGGAATAGGAACACTCGATATGCGAGAAGTCATAAATTCACCACGGTTTCGGATTGGTTTGGCTCCGCGTTCCGCAGCTGTGAGCAGAGTTCATGTCGCAACAGAAGCTGAGTTATTGGCGATCACTCTACTGGTAATCGTCTCTGTAGGCCCGCCTCTCTTGCTGTCCTGGGCCAAGTGACCCGACCTCTTACCCTGGCATCCGGCATGCGACATCACCTCATACGCAAAACCAACGCGGAAGGCCCGATAAAAACGATCACATCACACGGTGAGTGACGCTCTGCTGCGGCAATCTGGCGTTATGCTAATGATCCTGTCGCCTTCAAACGTCCACCGTCACTTGACTGTGTCTGAATGGACATTGGGCAGCAGCCGTCCATGCGTGCCACGTCACACGTGACAGGAACCGTTAGGCGGCTGAATGAGTCAGAGTGGTCGTAAGCTGCGTGTATTTGGATTGCGATTCCACGTTTGTTGCACTTACTCATTTAACCCCCAACTGTTTTTAATTGTTGTTTTTTATTCATCTTTCGACCGGTCATATCTGGCATTTGTCAGGAGAGCTCTGGCATTTCCGAATGAATGAGCTCAGCTAATATGCAACGAGGTCAGTCGAGCCATTTAATCAACGCAGCCCATCGGTAAGCTTGAAATACGACAACTTTCCCACTAACCGAATGATAAGTCACTTGGCCCTGCTCTGAGGATGGACCTCATCCATTAATCCAATGTCGCCTCATCGCGCGAAAGAAGTCAGTTCTGAGAGAGAAACATTTTCACGGTTGGTGAAGCATGAACTGTCGATTTGCAGTATTTCATGTCTGCCGTCCAAGAAAAGTCAGGTTTTGTTTGTCTCCTGTTATTCATTCGTTCAGATGTATTTGATAGATAGCCACACAACAACAAACAATTTTCATTTGATCTTTATTGACTACCGAAATTTCAAGCACCTCGTTGGTCATTCATGGCTGGTGTCTCCACTTAAAACTGAATGGTTTTACATAGTACAAATGAATTGATAGCACCATTTTCAGGCTTGTTCCTCTGTTCTCACGGCCCACATCTTCAAATATCTTCGCTAGAATGTGACTAAACCAAGTGAATAATTTTAAGCCTGTAATGGCTATTCACTATAGGGTATTTCGAAACTCACCTGCCTAGCATTCATATACCGAAATGAATTGGTATGCCAAAATTTATATGCCTAAACTCACTATCAATCATTCAAACAAAACTAAATTGAGATCAGAATAATGTAAGCTGATTTGGGGACATCTAAAAAGTGGAATGTCAGTGAAGTGAGCCCGATCATCACAGAGAGTAACGCTCATATTTTGACTCTGCCCGAGCTATATGCGACTGCAGGCCTGGTAGCACAAAAACTAATACACCATTTTGTTTGCACTTCTAACCTTCTTTGTTGTTGGTAGACATGCTGAATATATATGAATGCTTTGCATACAAACAGGATGTTCTGAATGACATACTGGCGTTACTAAATTGGCAGCGTGCCAACTGTGAATTCGATATCAATCTCAGTCAGTGCGATGCTTTTTATCCTGATAAGCTACTTCGAACGTATAAGCCGAGCATCTTGGTCAGATTGGCATTAGCCAGAGTGGTTTGGGTGCATGTATTGCATCACAGAGCCATGAAAGTTTTTTTAGCACATGATTGTTTAGCATGTACTAACCGAACGCTGCCATATTCAGTGATTTTTAGTTACGCAGTGATAATTCGGGACCTAAACTTGTTTAACCCTCGCCCTGGCAGGGGGGGGGGGTCGATGCGACCCCCCCCCCTGAGGTTTTTCGAAGATAGCGTAACAGCCTATGGGGCAACCTTTTTACATATGACCTGAAAATTTCAGGTCCGGGTGACCTTGGGTCAGGTCACCAGGTCAGAAAAACCGGTACAAGGACATGGTCAAATTTCAATTTTCTTTTTGCACCTGTCCAACTCACAGTTTTGGACTGATTTCCTTCAAACTTTCAGGATGTGCTAAGTTTACCGAGTTGTATAACATATAATTCGGGTTTTTCGAGGTCACTGACCTGAGGTCAGTTAGAGGTCATTACGTCGTAATGTTAAGCCTATGGGAAAATACTAAATTCGGAAAATACTGGAGATATCCGCTTCGTTCTATCACTTTTGTGCTTTGAAACCATAGTTCTTAACAGCAGGTCACATGGTGCTTCTTTGTTTGGTGTACTTATCCATGGGTCAGGTCAAATGAGGTCATCTGAGGTCAAATGACGTTTTTGTCAATAACTTGGCACATAATGACGCTAGAGCTTAAAAAATGGTATCATTGTGTTCCTGGTGATGAGTCGAATCGAATTATATGCGATATAATGCAATTTGGTTAACTTGAACTTAATTTATTAATTTAAGTTTACTTAAAATTTAAGAAAAACTAAGTACTTTAAGCAAGCTAAAAAGTATATCATTCGACGCGCCTTGACGTGCTGAGTTCACTGGTGCTTTTCTTTTTGCTCTATCTTAATTAGATCAAAAGTTATAAGCGAAAAACTTTTGACCTGTTTTTAGCGAAATTTTTACATTTATACCCCCCAAAACCATCCTAAATATTGACCTAGAGCAACCAAATTTGCACAGGGGCGAGAACTCCTGGGGGCCCACCTACCTACCAAATTTGGTGTTTCTAGGTGCCATAGGAGCCAATCGCGAGGGGGGGGTCGCATCGACCCCACCCTGCCAGGCCGTGTTATGAAAAATGCCCTGCCAGGGCGAGGGTTAAGACTTCTGGCCGGCGGACTCATGCAAGCGGTTTCATGAAAGTGTCTGCATGTCCTCACGATTACTTTGAACATTTTGAAGTATGCATCATCTCACCATTATTCACTGATCGGCCATGTAATCACTCTTGCCATGCATTTTTAGATTTCCCGTCATTTCCAGTTACTTTTTTAACCGTATGTCGTTCCCTCGTTATCCCCAGAGAATAATTAGCCCCACCCTTACCTCACGCCCTCCAGATTCTGGGACATCCCCATCCTCCCACCCCGCCGCCCCCGCCACCTCCGCCCCCGCCCCCGCCCGGCCCGTGCCCCGGAGGAGGAGGGGAGCCGGGAAGGTCGTCCAGCGAAATGGCATGTACCGGCGGAGCATCTCTGCCTCCAGCCACACCGTCCCGCCGCGCGCAGCCGGTGACACGCGAGCGGCAGCGCGCTGTGGTAGTGTGACTCCTGCAGGGGTGAGCACCGCTGGCACCGCGATAGGACGTGAGAGGACGGAAGCTGACGGGAGGAGAGAGGAAGAGAGGAGGTCTTCGAGAAGGCGGGGAGGATTCATAAGCTGACACATCAGAGGTAAGTGGCGGTAGTTTTGTGATGGTTGTTGAAATGTTTTTGCGGTTAGCAGTTTTATAAAGGCTTAGATACAATAACGATATATTTTTATAGTTGAAAGTATAAGTAGGGATTTAAGAAGAAACAAGTTTTTTTTTCTAAGTTACCAATATTTACTTATTTAGTGTCTGTTCATGTTTCAAAATGAAAGATTTTTAAAGGAAATAATATATGACTCTGTAGCTGCCCAAGTCTGTATTTTTTCTTGTCTTACAAATTTATTCAGGATTTCTCATCGACCGCCACATAGCAAAAAAAAAAAAAACATATCTTGGAACTTTTCCATCCAATAAGTTCGCTGGAAAGATAACACCGATTTTCATAATTTCAAGGGCAAATGTGTGTGTTAAAAAACTAATGCAATAAATATTCAAATTTTTAACACTTTTGCTCATGACCAGCACAAAATGAACCAGGCTAAGGTAAAGAAGTTGACGTATCGAAGTCAAATGAAGAATAGATTATCCAAAACAGTGAATCGGTGAAATTAATATTTATATATAGCCTATAGGTGCAGATGTAAATTAATAGATACAAATTGATGTGTAAGCTTTTGGAGAGCATAAATAAACATTTTTTTTAAATAAATTTAGTCCAAACCTTTTGATAGGAAGGATTCACAACGACAGTCACCGCTAAGCGAAGCTTGTTGCGGTGACCCTGCCCTCTACCCTCCGATCGCGCAATTCCAGTTCTATGGCAGAATTTAGAGTCCAAAGTTTAACGTGCGCACATAGCCGCGCACGGCCGGTCCCCTCACTGACTTCGCCTGGCTACGGCCTGCCACTATCCGCAACCATACCTGTCAGGAGGCCCATGAATGTCGAGCGCCCATTGCGCTTCGACAATGAAAGAGTGCATTGACGGTAAAGTGATAAGACAAAAATACCTATATTCTTTTCCAACCTAAAAATTAATACCCGAAAAAAACCATTTGATTGTTTAGGACCTACATAGATAACTAGTTGTCCAATCACCGATGTCATGCGAACGCTTTGGATAAAGTTTGGATAACGAAATCCTGTTTGAAATTCGTTAGGAATGATGTGTTATAAGGTAAGAAATAAACTCAATAAAAAATGAAACGTTAGATTTAGAAATAAGAATATTTACCTAATCTTCCACTGCTGAAGCTTCCTTCAACGTGTCGTGATAGTTGCAAACGAAATGACATTTTTTTCTTCATCTTATGATCAAAGATGATAAGATACCTCATCATAACATACCCATAACATACCCCATAATAATCACAATCATACTATCGTATCATAATCATAATCAACCATAGGTAATCATAACATACCCTGGCTGCTAGGCTGTCGGTATTCGATCATTATTGGCTCTTAATTTTTTTGTTCTGTTGGTAATTATGTCTCTTACACTATCCGTTAATGTTGTTTGGAAAGTTATATTTTCTTTGTATCACAAAAAAACACATGCCACACATGCTAACAGCTGTGTACCTATACAACTTTTCAGGATGGGTGTCCACATTCACATTGCCCAAATCTGTAAATTATGTATGTGTGTTGTAAGCTGAAGGAATTCCGAACAAATCGGTTCAGCCACGCATGCCCTTACTTTAGGGTTACAGAGGGTGACACCCTGAGCCGGCCACGAATTTCAACAGCCACTCGGTCAAAACAGGCTTATAACCGCAGACGCCGGAATAAGTCGCCTGTCAATCCGACAAATGTTCAGTGTCTCGCAACAGCCTAACAGATGCATGTTTACGGGCGAATTACAAGCGCATCCAAGTTTGTAAGAATAAGAACTATTCATCAATCTTCTCAGATGCCGGCAGCATTTGGCGAATCGTCCAAAGCATGTCTATCATCTCAGTGAAAAATAGTCACGAGTGCATGTATGCTTAGTGCGCTTAAAAAGCTCATCCAATGGCGAAGGAGGCATCTTTAGGCTACAGCCGCATGCGGCGAAGGCTGCATTTTCAGGACTGGGTATTTTAGTCATCCTTATTTTGTGGTGAGGGGTACGGTGGAATCTAGGTAGCACTTCATGAAATTATACCCAGCTTTTGAAAATTTGGGAATAAATGTTTCCCTGTTCTGTTTCCTTTTCTGTAGGGCAACTATTGCTTATCTACTTTTACATGTGCTCCATGTTTGTAAAAAGTATTTCAGGAAACTTTATGCTGTTTACATGGATGACGGCTGTTCCGGTTACGTATGTTGTGCTTTTACATCTCAAAGCCCTACTTCAGTGGTGACTGGTGCAAAGCATTGTTGTTTTCCGAGAATCCTTGCAGCGGACAGACATGTGTCAGTTGTCCAATGTCCATATCGCATCTCAATCATCATGGCATGAACTGAAAGATCATCGGTCAATGCACTGCAGAATTGGGGCAGGTTGGAGAGGAAGGAAGTAGAGACGGAGATGGGATGGAGGTGCCGATACCCACCTGTCATGAGGTCAAGGCCACGATCACAGAACATCCGCGGTCAGAGGCGTGACGTGACAAGGCATGACATGACGCGACGTTACACCGCGTTTCCGTTAACGACGTGTCACCAGCACTGTGAGAGACGGATCAGAGAGGTCCCAGCACAGGCCGACACCCTTGTAAACAAGGAACAGCACGGTCCGCTGGCCGGACTGGCGCGGTGAGGTGCCGAGGGGCCATGGAGTGGGTCCGGCCGACCGACAACACGAGGTCGACAGAGCCAGACGAGCAGTGAGTCGTCACTCCACCGTGAACGGCAACCGAGGGATAACCTCTGACCGCGTTATGATAGTTAACGGATAGATCGTTAACTGGCAGATTACAAAATTTTGATCATTCGTAGTTTAACAGCACAATTGACTAATTATGTGACGAAGCTGTCATGAATGCAACTTCCATGGTGTAGATGAATGATCGTTTAAAGATGATGTTTTTTTTGCGGGACATTTAGTGTCGTGGCAAAAAGAAATAGAGATGAAGAGCTTCCTTCTTGGTGGGTGAATACGTTCCTTGGCCATCACAAAGTATACGTGTCCACAGCGTTTATGTTAGAAGTTAGGACATATACCTAGATAACATGATTCATGTTATCTATTTAGATAATAATCCTTACAGATAGCACAATGATATTTGTGAACAAAAGAAAACCAGGAAGGTGGACCACATCTTCCGGTGTCATTGAACGTTGGGTCAAGTTTCACTGCTAAATTCTTAAATAAGCATGTATTGCCGGAGAAATACCGGAACCAGATTCAACACGTTACAAACCTGATGTAGAATTTGTCACACCATGCGATTATAACTTCACCTGCGGCCGTAGGACTTGTTAGAAAGCCATTTAAAAACTGTTTATGTGGGGATCGTATTAAGACGTAGTTCAGCCGAAGGAAAAGTGTGAAAAGCCACGCTTTGTCGCACAATCACATTAAAACGGGAAGTCACAGATGAAAGTAGCTTATGTTGTATCAGTTGTCACGTGTCTTTCATGCAACCCAAATTCCAATTTAGGTAAATCTGCGAATAAGTGATGTTTTTCGATACCGATAGGTACCCCGATAATCGCACCAACATGCGAGGACGAGTCAGATCCACCATTCACCCCTCAGCACCTGATAAACGAGCTCACCCTCTCCGTTCCACGAACACGCTCTGATCCAGTCCCAGCTCCGTCTCCGCCCGGGGCAGTGACCGGACGGGCCGGTCGGTTTGACCTCTGACCCGCACTCCCCCTCCCCCTCCCCGCCCGTGCCGGCACGGTGGCAGTTTCTCAACAGCGCGAGTATACAGACGGCGCGGCGGTCGGCCGCCGGCGGCTCCAAGCCGTGGCTTGCATAACCCACACCCGAGAGGAGCCCACGCAAAACGGACGGCCGCTGCGTGCCGACGCACTTAGCCCGCTTTTTATTCGCGTTCATGGCTGGGCCGTGACGAGAAGGTATGCCGGTGTTGGAGGTCTTACACACTCTGGACGGACGGTGCTGTGGGCTGTAGAAGCGCTGTGCTGGCACTGGCGGATGCTAAAGGCGTTCTCGGACGCTGCGGGGAGCATACCCCCAAAAAGTTTCTCCCATCTCCAAATACGCCTCGGATTTCGATTCTTTACGGCACTGCTGAAGCGTTCAAATGAAACGTTTCCTGATAAAAGTTGTTTTGTTTTCTTTTTGTTCCCGAAGAACCGCAAATTTTTGTCGATTTTGGGCGCCAAGGGGGGGGGGAGCACGTGCCCCAAATGCCTTTGCTCTGGATATGCTAACTATTGTGTGCTGGTATTTATAGATACGATGCAGCCTCATTCATATGTAGCCATTGCATTCAAGGTATACTAAAACCTTTTCTATTGACATATTTTGCAAAATATTGAAATACAAATAGCAGAATACATACAGTAAACGCACATGGTATAAGGAACATTCACCGAAATTGTGAATTGACGCAGTTAAACAATTATCTTCAATGTCCTACCAACAGCAATATGCTGCATCCTCTACACAATGACGCGATAAAAGACAGCGACGCACTCCCACGAGCAGTCAGAATGATCTAATCGCATTTTCATGGTCAATCGTCATGCATATTTGAGGGATCAATTATATCATACTTCTTTCAAATTGCCTGAAAAATTGCCGGTTGCGATACCGCGATGATATCACGGTTAATGTCTCTGGGAATGTCGCACAAGTCATCGGCGCCCCAAGAGCCGCTGCTGTAATTAATAGTGGCTCTTCCGTTTCAGGTGCTGGCCAACTTATCGGTGAAGATGAAGCACTATTCAGCTACGGCATGGTCAATCGGTAAGTTATTCTATTCGACCGATTGGAGTTTTCCTTCCTGTTATCAGTTATTTCTGATGCTCGATTGTTTACTGAGTGATGAAGGTTAGGGAGGGCTCCGCCTTTTCCGGTAAGCGTTGCGTGTGTAGTGGCTCATGCTATTACATCGCACCGTTCGCGCCCGTTACGAGGGTGCCTGAGGTCATCAGGAACCGGCTTCCGACACAAAAACAAGCCGTATCAGCTTCGTTAAGCGGAACCCGTCGTACTGACACCTAGACACTAGATTCGCTGAAGCGTGCCGCACTGGCGGTTGTAGTAGGCGTCATGTGGATGTCGACTGTCAATTGACAGAGTTCTGGTTGTTCTATGAGCGGTTCAATTTGGAGAGAGGGGAATGCTGGGCAATGAAGAGTGACCAGTGGTCTCCCTCACCAGACATGACACGGTGATGACCAGTATTGCCTATGGGCCACAGGATACCCTACTCTCACTGAACGTGAGAGGAGGATGAGAAGTGTTACGCGATAGCGCAATTAACCACCCACTCGCTGTCTCCTGGCTCGTAAGCTCGTCGACTATGCCTAAGAGACCCATTAGACGGGTGAGCTCGATAATGACCCATCCAGTAACTGCAGATGGCATTCTCGAATCTTGACCCTCCGCTGGTCTGTCGTGACATGTAATACAGACACCTTTCGTGGGCGGCCTTTCCAGTGACTAGACGAGGCTGTTGATCCACCCCGGGCAATACTTAAAGGGACTATCCCACCTTTAACATGGGGTTTGAGTTGAGATAGCCAAGTTTGCGGCGAGGTTCAGAAACCACTATCTATCTAGGTTGCAACCCCCGCGGCCTCTTGGTGTTGAAGAAATTCGTTCCCTTCATTTGAAAATGGGCCTTGTACAAGGCCCTATCTTCAACATGGAGCGACCGTTAGTGTGACGTCACCTCGTTTAGTCATTCTGATTTAAATGGGTTTGTTCGTTGAAAAATCGCTTAAAACTTGATCTGAACTTTGCTGTGGTGCCTACAGAGTAAAAAGAATCAGCTTTATGACAGTAATGTGGCCTGGGGAAGGAGGTAATTTTGGGCTGTGACGTCACATATTTGAAAGTTTGTGTTTGGAATATGGGAAGCCTAAGATGTTTAATGAAAAATAAATGCCAGAACCGTGTTCCTGGTCATCCAGTCTATAAAGTCGGGCACAATTTGACTGGTTTTAACAACATTTTAGAAGGTGGGATAGTCCCTTTAAGCGGAGGCTACTGATCCGGTGGCGTGTCATCACGTCTCCACTCTCCAGTCTCTGCCCGTAAAGATTGACCCAGTGCTAGGTGCCCTGTGACATGTTGCCTAATCGGGTCTTTAAAAATTGGTCCCCATCATCGATTGGATGGGCTTCTGGAATGTCATTGCTTCACGGAGCAGGGCTGTGAATGATCAGTGAGCTCTATAATCCAATCATCGGAAACCGCTAACCAGCACTATCAGTAAACAATGAGGCCACGGTCCAGAGATAATTGTCATTTGACGCGCTTCCTTTGAGCCTCGAGTCATGAAACGTCACGCACTCTGCAGCTTTGACACGCTTGATCTGGACATTTGGCTCATGATGCGCCACTATTCCAGGCGTGGGCATCTTTCCCACCAACCCACCCCTTATCCTTTTCCAACCAATGAAACACTGGCGTCCGCTATAATTCGACCCAACTGTGCCCAGCCGCCCCCATTTGCACCGCCCAGCCATTGCCCATACATAACCTCCGCCGTGGATCCCGATTCCCGACTATCCGATCGCGTTCGCCGCCCCGCCCCAACACTCGCCATTAGCCCAGTTTAGGCCGCGATCGTGTGGGGTAACGCGCTCTGAGCCAGGTGGAGGTGTTCATTAGAGATACTATTAGTTAGTCGTGATGAACCGATGGGTAATCGGTCGGCTCTGTGTGCTATGCAGCGCAGTCCGTCATGGTTGCGTCAGGGTCCGCGATAGTTCATGCAGTGCGTTTTGGGATTAACCGCCCGGTGCCTCTCCGAACTGCTGGGGGGAGGAAAGTTGGGATTGTCATAAAGTGGTTCCGCCGAATTATTGGTTTAGCACGTTTCATTTAACCCTCGCCGGGCCTATTGGTTTGGCGTTGCGAAGTTGCGACATCTGAGGACCGTGCAGAGGTTTATTTATGACGTCATAGGGTAGTGACCTGACCTGACCTGAAAATACGAATGGTGTCCTAAGATCCAGCTTGAATCAAAGGCTGGTTATGCTACGTTTCAGCTCTCTATCACCGGTGTGTTCCGAGCTATCGCGAAAAAATTCCTATGGGGGCGGCACACGTCCCCTTCTCGGCTGACGAGGGTTCAATATTTAACCCGCGCCCCGTTGGGCTCTGCCGAGCAACGCGCCCGGTTGGGGGGGGGGGGCATTTTGGCCCCCCTAAGATCTCGAGAACCACGCAACATAGCGACAAGCGGTAAACGGCGTTGGATAGCCCCAACGGGGAACTACCTTGTGACCCAATTTTATTGACCTAGGTCAAACCGATGACGTCACAGGTCAGGTCAAAGGTCCAATTTTCACCGTTTACAGGCATTTCAAGAAATGCGTTGTAAAATCGAGTAAAATGCATTTCATTGAAAATCATCGATGGGGAAATGTTCTTCAAACACATATTTTGCTATTTGAGGTCACTGATACCAGGTCAGGTCACAGAGGTCAGGGCACGGGGGGTCACAATATGAAAGTGTCGTGTGATACATGTTTTATGGTCCATTTTACATGACAAATGCGATTATGTGGGTCAGGCAGCCTTTGGGGCCAGCTAAGGTCACGTTTTGGTCAAGGTCAGGTCAAGGTCAGGTCAAGGTCAGGTCAAGTTAGGTCAAATTTCAAAGTTAATATTTTTGCATAACATGGGTATCAAATCGATGCAGCTCGTCACGGGGAGTTCAATGGTGGTCTTTGTTTTGCCGTACGTGGTCTAGAATCGCTAAAAATTGAGTTCAAAAATTTGACGTCATCATTTTTGAACAGTTTTTTCGCTATAACTTGGCCAAAAAACGAGATATCGATCTGAAATTTGATATGTATATAGAAGAGCGCTGGGACTATCACATATATTCCGGTTTTTTCGAAATTCGGAAAAATTTCGGATTTTTCAAAAGTTTTTCTAAAAAAATCAATTTTTTGATTTTTTTTTGTCAAAAACCAAAAATTTTGAAAATCCGAGATAGCAGTTTTGTAGCGCCGCTTTTTGTCTACTAGACCATATAAAGAACTGTGAAATTGCTTGATAACTGTAGATTTGGTGAGCGTTTCAAGATTGCATGTTTTTTGCTCATTTTTGCTCGAACATGACCTCAGTTTGACCTCAATAACTCCTGACCTAAGTTGACCTAAGACTTGAAATTTGGTGTGAAGGTGTCAAATTGATGGCCGGGAAGGTACTGAAAATTTGGCGGCGCTGCGCGCCGCCGTTTTCTTGCTATTCAGGAAAAACCACAGGGGGGGGGGCCAAAATGGCCCCCCCAACGGGGCGAGGGTTAATACACATTTGCGTTATAAATATTAATACGTTTCGTTTTCTGTTCACAGGGATCCTCCTGGCAGCATCAAGTATAATGCTGGTCATCGGTGAAGAAAAGGTGAGATACTGTGCTAGACTTCTCAATTACCTATTGTCTTTCTTATTTGATGTACGAAACATTTTGACTACGTTATTAATTACTCATAAGATATGCAAAATAGTGTTACTGTTTCGCTACTAACCTATACATTTTATAACAAATGTTCTCGCTATGTTACAAATGTGCATTACAGCTAGTACGCAGTCGCAGTTCTTCGTCATAAAACTTATTATTATCATTTTTTGTGGACGGAGGTATGCCTACTTCAACGTTTCTGAGCCTTCCCCGATTTCGTTAACTTTTTTTTGAATGTGTATGTACATATTGTGTACGTTTTTTAGTATTCATATGCCCAGCAATCAGGCTGATTTCGAGAGTTTTCAGCTTAATTATTTTTTTAATTTCAGTTTAGAGAAAAGCAAGCCTAAGCATTTTGGGAAAAGTAAGATATTTGACATGATTAATTTGAAAATATGCATATTGCTCTGGCTTTCATTATCTGTGGTGCCTCTTGGCGAACCTCCAAGCGACTGACATTTCCCTTGAGCTAAGCCTATGATCGCTGTATTGTATCATTGATAAACAATCGCAACGCTCAATGCCGGATTTACATTCAAGGGACCCTCCCACCTTCAAAAAAGTTAATGAATTGGCATGAAAGTGATGTCGCTCGGTTCAGAAAGAGCAAAAACGAATATCTACCAAATTTCATCGAAAAATATTCACCGGTTTTCAAGATATTAGACATTTACTTTTGTTTACTTTTTGGGATCTCCGCTGTTCCTATGCGACTTTATTTGAAAGTGCGGCATTTGTTGCGCGCAAAGCAGCATATACCACCGCGTGCTACAAAACGTTTTAGTCAAACATTTAACGGACGTTCGAAAGCCTGATGACGTCATCAGATTCCCGTAATGGTTAAGAGATAGGGACCACGCTGGTCCCACCCTGCAAGTAAAGGGAAGAAATTTCTTGAACACCATAAAGCTGCGGGGGTTGCGACCAGGATAAATGGTGGTTTCTGAGCCTGGCCGCAAACTTGGCTATCTCAACTCAAAACTAATGTTAAGGTGGGAGGGTCCCTTTCAGTATATTCAATCCCACACCCATTCAACCTTGACAATGACTGTGTACGATGGATTAGGCGGCAACCTGTATTCAAACTGTTGCCCAGCTTCTTGCGGACTACCTACTCAATATTCATGCCATGCAAAGGTTATAAAGGTACGCTATTGATGCATGTGCAAAGCTTAATATTGACACAGCAATATCTTAGAAATTTGATGTAAATTTCACCTTTAAAGCGATTTTGCCAGTTTTGTCAAATTGTGCAACTGATTTCGTACATTTGTGTGCTAACTACCGTCTTCTGAGCTTTATATTTTGAATGATCATTGAGGAAAGCTAATGCTTCTGCACGGCCAAATTATAGTCAGTCTCTGAGCATGGAATATGGATTATGTTTTGTCGGAAACTCCTTGCCTAATTAGCTGGGCTTGTGCAAAATGCGTCTCCGGTGCTATCGGCAAGCGCACTACGCACGGTGAATGTATATTGATAAGACCATGACCGCTACTCTCAGTCGTATAAAACTGCGGGATTCTCACACTTCGTGACTTCAAATCGAACGGTGCCCGGCTTCCAGTGTCATGTTAACTGTAGTTGTGCCGGCCCGGCCCTGTTCGGAATCGCCCTAACGCTCCTTGGTGTATAGGTACTACTCTGGCCGACATGTGCACAGCTGGAGTTTATTGTGTTTGCGAGGTTAAGTCCGTGTCAGAAATGCCGCTAATGGATTATGAGTCATACCGGTCTTATGTCTTAACCCGGCAGGCGGTGGGCCTCCCGGCCACCTTCCGCGCGGTGGGGGGGGGGGGACATTTTTTTGCCCCCCCCGTATCTCCGAAACTACTGGACGGATCCAGAAAATTCAAACGGCGTTCGATAGCCCTGTCAAAATTATCATGAGAAACCAAATTTCATTGACCTCGGGGTCACCGATGGCGTCACAGATCAGGTCAAAGATAAAATGTTTCACCGTTCACGGGGCTTCTAGGGAAAGCACTATAACACCGAGTAAAACGCATTTTGTCGGAAATCAGCGACAGGGCGTCAGTTATCTAGTACATATGTTGCTATTAGAGGTCACTGGTCATACCAGGTCAGGTCACAGGTCAGGTCACCTATAGGTCACCAAGGGTCACCACATGAACCCAACTTTACTAAGGTTGTGCGATGCATGTTTTATGGCCAGTTTTTCATTTCCAACTCAATAATGTTGGTTATAAGACCATCAGGTACGGTTTAGGTCACTTTCTGGTGGAGGTCAGGTCAAGGTCAGGTCAAAAAAGTTAAAATTTCAAAGTTGACATTTTTGCATAAAATGGGTATCGATTCGATGCAGCTCGTCACGGGGAGTCTAATGGTGGTCTTCGTTTTGCGCCACGAGGTCTGGAATTGCTAAAAATTGAGTTTGAAAATTCGACGTCATCAATTTTGAACAGTTTTTTCGCTATGACTTGGCCAAAAAAAAGAGGTATCGATCTCAAATTTGGTATGTAGATAGAAGGCGGTAGGGACTATCACATATATTCCGTTTTTTTCGAAATTCAATAAAGTTTTTGGATTTTTCGGCTATCATATTCAAAAATTCTATTTTTTATTTTTGAGGGTCAAAATCCAAAAAATTCGAAAAACCGAAATAGCAGTTTTGTAGCCCTTTTAATTCCACACCTTTTATGTCTGAAACATTTTTCTGTATCTCTAAAACTGTAGGCCTGACAGCTCTTCCCGCGAAACCTTTTTTTGGGTCGAAAATGGCAAAAATGACGTCACTCTGACGTCATTAGCGGCCAACCTATCATAGCCTTTGGAAAAAATTTTGGTCACCATGTGCGCTAGCTACTCCCGGGAGGGTACTGAAAGTTTGGTGACGATCGGCGCAGCGGTTCTTGAGATATATCGAAAAAAAACTAAAGGGGGGGGGGCAAAAAAATGCCCCCACCGCCTGGAAGGTTAATCGATATTGATACTTACCCAAGCGTTAAGCTCTATTGAAACGTTATAATGGCACTGGCTGAATGCCTGAAATTACAAACGCGCATGTGCCATGTGCAATGGCTTTAATTTTTTTTTTGTATGTGTAATGCCCATTGCCCATTTCATTTGTACATTTTCAGTTAACCCTCGCCCGCATATGCCATTTTCCCATCCTAGAACGCACATGGGGGTATCGATCTCATGAGTCATACTTGCCACCCCCCCCCCCGCGCCATTTCGTTCCTGTTGGAGATAGAGCTTAGCGGTAAAGACCAAAAAGATTCTTTGGGAAGAGACGAATCCAATGATACCCAGTTTTACCTTCTCAGGTCAGTCATTGACCTTCCAGGTCAGGTCAAACTAAAAAATGTTGCTGTTTTGGGTCACCGTTGGATATCAAGTGCGCTGCTTATCAAATACCGATGACGATGCTGTTTTCTGGTGCCAAGCCAGCTAGAGCCTCTTTGTCACACTACCCGACCAGAATTTTGCTGCTGAGGTCATTTCAGGTCAAGTTAGGTCAAGGTCAATTATATGTGTTTGTATGTCTGTGTGTGTCTGTGTGTATGCTGATGTGTGCACCGATTGTTTTTGGATCCATATTACATGAAATCATGATCTGAGAAGCTTTTACCAAAAATGCAGTCAAAAAACTTCACAAAAAGTAAATTCAGCTTGCCTAAAACGCAATTATCTTAGATGACCTAGGTTGACCTTGACCCTGACCTTGACCCCTGGGGCATTCCACGATAGATCGTACCACTTTTTTCCAATTTGACACCCTCATCTCTCGGAATTTGACGAGAATTGGTCTCAGGGGTAATCAGGGGCTCTGAATCCATCTGTAACAATTTCAGGCTTATCAGATAAGTATTTTTTGAGTTATGGTGTATAATATTTTTTGGATCTTGCTTTGCAGCGCTAAGTTTGGCGGGCTGTAACTCTAAGACGGATTATTCAAATGCCAAATGTTATATAACATTGAACTTGCAATGAAACAGAGATTAATATGTATTTTTGTAATTTCCAAAAATACGCTATTTTTGATATATGACATATTGAGTTTTCTTTCATTTGTATTTTTTGGACTTTGGGACCAAATTTTTTTGAATTTTTATTTCTTTAAAAAAATATTTGGCTCATTGTAAAGAAGTATGCAAAAAATTAGGAAGGTGTTCTTTCTATAAATGTATTTATTTTACGTCACGATAACGGTTTCGAATAGTGATTTCGGGAGGGGAGCTTACAAATGGCGTGGTAACGCTGCCTAGTGACATCACGGGTTACTGAAATTTCAATTGAAGCCTGGGTTATCTGAAAAAAGTGAAAAGAGAGTTCATCCAACCCTCTTTCCTATAAGCGTGAGGGTGAAAAAGGATGTTTGGTTCTGACATTGTTTTGGACTCCAATGACCATAGCTGTCCGAGATGCAAGTTACAGGAGGCATACATGGTGTCCTCCAGAGGTCTCACAACTTGTATTTCAGGGAATTTTTTAAGGTTACATGAGGTCAGGTCGGTCACGTGACATCACTGTTATAAGTCAATGGGGAAATATAAAAACTGTTATTTTGGTGCCGAGAATGATCTAAAACTATCTCATGTACATGGTATCGTGATTTCATGCACTCCTTGCAAAGTCCAATGCTTCACTTTTGCATTGTTAACCTTGCGTGACGTCATTTATGACGTCACTAGGGTCGTACGAGTTTTTCGTCAATAACTCCCGATCAAATGGAGCTAGAGAGTCGGGAAAGCCACCAATGGACTCGGGAAGACCTTCCGAATCGAATGATATGCCATATGATACCCTTTGCCCAGCTTCGTGACCTGAGGGGCTCTGACCTGACCTTGACCTGAGGTCAACTACTTAAGTTGACCTCACCCTAGCAAAAAGCGGTGGGTGAGGATACCATTCGATGCACCTGAGCTAGGCGAAAACAATGATGCCAAAATCGCGGCTCTGCAGCCATTTTTTGC